CGGGCACGTGACCGGGCATGCAGCACGTGGCACAGCACGTGAGGGGGCGGGGCACGCAGTGGGGTCACGTGGCCGGAGCACGCTGGTGAGCACAAGGCCCCAGAATTTCCACCTTCCTTCTTTCTCGTTTGTTTTTCCGAGAAATTCAGGCCGGGACAGGGCTTTAGAGTCAAACTGCCCAGTTCCTGAGAAGACAAGCGGATGCTCCCCACTTTTCCATCAGCAAATCTACAAAATCCGTGCTGCACTTGGTGCAAAGGGAGAACAGTCCTGGGTCCCAGCTGGGCCCTCCCGCTCGTGTCTCCTCATGCACTTCAGTTACCCGCTCCCTCCTGCATCGGTCCTGCCTCGAATATGCTCCCCACTTTTCCATCAGCAAATCTACAAAATCCGTGCTGCACTTGGTGCAAAGGGAGAACAGTCCTGGGTCCCAGCTGGGCCCTCCCGCTCGTGTCTCCTCATGCACTTCAGTTACCCGCTCCCTCCTGCATCGGTCCTGCCTCGAATACGGGATCATTTCCTTCTTACGTGCAGGAAAATCTCCTACCACAAAAGGAACAAGCCTCCTTTTGTCCCACATCGGCCTCCGGCTGCTCTTCCCAGAAAAACTTCTCAAAAGAGTGGCTGCAAAGGCCTTTTTAACTTCTCCGTCTCTACCTCCTCACCCCCCATTTTCTGTTCAACCTACCTTTCCCTGCTCCGTTACAGAAGACTGAAATCCATTAGGCGCCTCTTGACTGCATTTGATGAAGTTGACCTCTCTGACCTTTAAACACTTTTCTTTTGGCATCAATATTCGCTGTCCATCATTGTCATAACAGATGGCCACAAACCTCACTGTTTAAGCAACCCCTGTTTATCCTCTCTCATTTCTGTAGGCGAGAGGCCTGACATCAGTCTCATTGGAATCAAATCCAAGCATCAGCCCGAGGGAAGCTTTGGGGAAGAATCCACCTCAAAGCTTGTGCAGGTTGTTGGCCAATGGAGATCCTTGAAGCTCTGAGCCTGAGGCCCCGTGTCCTGCCTGGCTGCCAGCCAGGAGGCGCCCTTAGCTCTTGGAGGCTTCTCTCCATCCTCCCATAGGGGCCCCAGCACCCAGAGTCCCCGATAGGGTGCTGAGTCCTTAGGTTTGCAGTCCTCTTGCTTCCTCTTCTGCAGCATCTCTCTGACTCCAGCAGAGGAAGTTCTCTGCTGCTAAGGGGTTATGTGATTAAATCGGACCCACCTGCATAATTCAGGTTTATGACCATGATGACATCTTCAAAGTCCCTTTTGCCTTTTACGGTAACATATTCCCAGCGGTCCAGGAATTTGGGCCTGGATATCTTTGGGTGGGGGTCGGGGGAGGCATTCTAGCTCCCACAGTTTCCAACCACCACACTCTCCTGATGGTCCTCTTACCTCCTGGCTGTCCCCTCTCAGTCATCCTCCACGTCCTGACCTCTAAAGGTTAGCAACCTCAGGGCTGTCCTTGGATCCCTGCCCTTCTCTGTTTTCAATCCCTAAGAGATTTCCAACCATTTGTTTAAATACTCAAGGCCCAGTGCACGAAATTCATGCATGGGTAGGGTTCCTAGTGGCTGCCGGCTGCTGGCTGCCAGCCGGGGCCTCCCTTCCCCCAGCTGCCTGCCACCACCCCTGGCCAGGGCCTCCGTTCCCCCAGTTGCCTGTCAAAGCTGCAGGCCAAGGCTTCCCTTTGCACCCACCTTGGCCTGGCGCCACCTGCTCACCTGCTCCACCATCCCACCTCACTCCTGCTCTTGTTGGGGCCCATGTGGGCCGGCAGCACCTCCACTGCCACCTGCTGCCAGCGCCACATCACAGAAGCCTGGCATGTTCTGCGCCAACCCCTGGTGGTCAGCGTACGACTAACTCACAGTCAATCGAACTCTGCCCGTAGGGACAATTTGCATATTAGCTTTTATTATATAAGATACTGATGCACCACAACTGCATGGAAACAGAAGCTGCTGTACTCAGGACCCTCACAGACCCCACCCTATATATCTCTTAATCTGTATCCTTTATCCTATCCTTTAATGAACTTGTAAACATAAATAAAATGTTTCCCTGAGTTCTGTGAGCCACTCTAGAAAATTAATAGAACCTGAGAGGGGGTGTGAGAATTTCTGATTTGTAGCCAAGTTTGACAGAAGTGAGTAAGTACCCTGGGGACCTGCTGCTTGTGATTGGAATCTGAAGGTGGGACTGAGCCCTTAACCTGTGGGATCTGACACTATATCCAGGTAGACAGTGTCAGAATGAGTTACATTGGAGGACACCTGGTTGGCGTTGCAGATTTGCTTGGTGAAGGGAAAACACTCACACCTCTGATGTTGAAACAAAGGAAGACTGGATTGTTGCTAATACGCCTGGATTGTCTGATTTTTCTTCCTTCTCTCCTTGTCCTTCTTATTGGCAAGTATCTCCCAAGAGATTTCAAAAGAGGTTAATAGAGTCCTTTAAAAGATTTGTTCTCTTAGTCAAAGATGAGCCAGCTAAAAAGAAAGGATCGTGGGGAAATGCCAGGCAGCAGAGACTCGGTAATCTCAGCTGCTCTTTTTCTCTCTAATCAGTGTTTTGGAGATGGACCGTCTCACTCCACATGACTTTTAGTCAAAGCTGGGAGGAGGGCTGGAACTAGGGTGGAAAACTTATGGACTCCTTCATTCTCAAGTTCCCTTGTGCCCTAGGTGCCTCTCTGGCCTCACTCTAGTTCCAGCCCTGGATGGGCCCCAGGGTCACTGATTTTCTCTAGTATCCCCAGGGAGGTCTCAATGGATTCCTT